ATTGAGAGGGTTGATTGAGGAATCTCATCCAACGCTTCTATACACTGTCTCGATATCGTCTGCAGTTGAGGTGAAACAATGGTGGGAGAAAACTCTGCTTCGTTTTTGCTTTTTTTAGCGCAAAAATTTCGAATTATTATGCTTTGAGACCTGGTCTTTATTAGGAACAGTGATTGTTCCTTCCATTAAATCAACATTAAAATTAGTTTAAACACTTTTGGTTGTTTTCCGAGACTCTCAATCAATATTATTATTTATTTACCTGTTTATCTGTTTAATTGTAATTATTAACGGGATCTCCTGCCTTGCAGCTGCAGCACGCTTTTTACAAGAAATAATTAGCAATAATTAAATGCAGCGTCGATCAACTGCCGCAGTTACACAGCATGAAGAGCATTAACTGTTATAACAACACTGAACGAATTTATTTTTAAGTCTAGCAGTAAGGAACCTCTGTAAATTAGAAATGTATTTTAAAGGTCCCATAGCTTCAACAGCAATAATCAATATAAGAAGAAGTTTAAATGCATAATAAAGCCTGATTATTCAATAGCTTGATAATCAGATAAGCCTAACTCAGTCATGAGGCGATTAGCGAAGTGCGTGCCTTCGCACGAAATATTTAGACAAATTTATGCACTCGAGGAAATTTTCTACTTTCCTCTGAGAGTCTTAATTCAGAATAAGGCTCGATTTATCTCCGGTGCCTTTGACCACTTCATTAACATTGTGCGTTAATTTAAAATTGGAACTCGAGCGCTGATGATCGAGCGCTCGATCTCAAAACAATTGCGCAGATCACATCTTCAAGATTTTTTTTGGTAAATTCGAGCGTTTCTACGCAATTGGCATAAATACAGCCTTTAAGAAGTGAAGTTTTACTATAGAAAAATTTTCCGAGTATTTATAAGTAAAATTTCTTTTTAAATCGAGGTAGTTTGGGTGAATAACAGTCATTGATATTAAATTGGTTTTTATTTACCTTATACCTTTTATTTTTCTATGTAATTCAAGAAGAATGAATAATGAAAGGAAACAACTTGATAAATACGAAAACGTGAATATTGTGCTGATGTGACCTTGAATTATATCACATCTGACAAAATTTAACAAAGACATTGTAGAAGTTGAAATTAATTTTAACAATATTCAAAGCTTCATATATTTAAATGTGCATTGTTGAGAAACCCACAAAAGAATCAACGGTGGCGAAGAATATAATAATTTGTATTGAAATTCACACCTGATGCATTGTCTTCCACTAAATTTCGTCGTACCTCCACTGCTTTCTTTTCCTTTCTCGCTTTCTTAAACTCCACAAATCCTGTCGAGGCTGGCAGTCTCCCACAGGACTTCACTAATGACCTCGAGACCTCACAGGATCGCGAGACTCTACTAAAAGATGGCAGGAGTCCTTCAAGAATAAGACAAACTTAACTTGTTTCATCAAACAACTGGAAATTTTCGAAGAAGATTGATGCTTTTAAGCATTACAACACACTAAAATTTTATCAACAGATAAATTGAGAAATTAGTTGCTGCTTTTTGCAATGCCTCGGTGGAGATTTTTCTTTTTAATTACACTCGTGCAACACACATGGTTTGCGTATTCTTAAAATGCGTACCATTAAATAACGATATACGAGGTCATATCGGATGAAATCTCGTATAGCAATATATTTTCGCAAATACTTAGCCCAAATATAGCTATAACGTCCCTCATCATGGTCCCAGCTCGAACATATACGTCACCTAGCGCTCATTATGTATATCCCTATAGGAAAGGCTAAAGAATCGTTCTCCCCAGAAAAGCGGCCGTCGAATCTTATTGTTCGGGCAGGACGAAGAGCCGCGGTCTCGGAAAACAGCTCCGTAGCGCGGTAATCTCGACAGCTCCTGGCGCAATAGCACAAGAAATGAAACCGAGCATTCGTAAACATCGCCTCGAATGAGGCTTATTCGACGTGTCCTTGAGATATACCAGACGTTAACGGCGGCCTAGACGGTAGGCCTACGGCTAATATCGGGACAAGCTATCGGACTCGCAGGCGCTCAGGAGCAAGTGGCTGGACGGAGATACGACGTCGTAGCTCCAGGTGGCCGTGCGCTTGTCTACGTGCAGCTCTACGTTCTGACCTGATCCCGAGGTCGTTAGTTTTGATTTAGATGCGTCCTAATGAAAAAACTCGGCTCATTGTAGCTCATGTCGTGCAACTCCAGCAATGATTTATGCTTGTTATACAAACGTAGGTTATTACAGGTGAGCAATCCTCTGTCAATTAAATCAATTAAAAAGGCAACCTTAGCTGCAAGTAGAGAACCTGCTTTTCTTTTTGAATTGTCATCATTTCAAAGATTGGTTAGCCTCTAAAAGAAGTTCGAAAATATTTACTGATCTATTCCTAAGGCCCCGGAGAATGTCAATCTGATTCACGGAGACAAAATATTATGTTAAACTTCATAAAATATAATAATTTCGTAAAATGGACGTTGGTCGTAACGACCGCGTCCTCGAATCCCATCAATGATACCCGAAGAAATTCGTCGCCAACTTTTTAGACAAGAAGCATAAAATTCTCGTCAGTCAAAAAACTTTTTCAATTGACCGAAAAAATGGCGTCGTTCCAAATAAGACGTTAGCGTTATGATTCTTTTCTGGCGCAGTTTTGGCCATAACGAGCGAGGCGCCCGCCTCTGCTTTTCTGTTACCGCCAAGTTTTGGAGACAAACGGGCGCACCAGCACTTAAACTCGGCCATATTAATGCAGGGCAGAGCCATGGCTCCAGCTATATGGAGGCATGGCTGCTCCAGCTACATGGAGGCATGGCTGCTCCAGCTATATGGAGGCATGGATGCTCCAGCTATATGAAGGCATGGCTCCGAGCATGCCACTCATAGGAATAGATTGGTCATATTGTCCAAATATTGAATTTTTCTTATACAATTTTCTTTTCAGCGGGCCAAATGATTAAAATTTATTTTCATCGGGCCAAATTGGGTCTAATACCCACACGAGCGTAAAAATGACATATATATTACTGTCCTAATATATTACTGTCCAAATTTGGACAGTAATATTCATTTTGTTAGTGTTTGCATAAAACGAACAAGCTCTCGTGTGTATCGACCGTTTTACTGAGCAGACTTAAACATGGCCATGCTATCATCTGGCGCTTAGAACAAATAAAGCCACATTTTATCACTATTCAGGCAAAATTCAGATAATGATGTTAGTTTTGGGATAAGAAATCTATGCATCAGTAGCCCCTTCAATCTGAACGGTGGGTTAGATCTTTGCTGGATGAGGTCACGAAATATTTTTTATCCATAAACTGTTAGATCTAGATAAAACGAATTTTAGCAGCTAAATTAATTCATTTTACGTTTTTATTGCGTTAAATATACACCCTGATTCATAAGATGTAATGAAGGTCTTGCCAAAAATATGGCCAATTGAGTATGCTTAGCGTGCGGCATGCAGTGCGCGTAGCTTTACGAACGGTCGCGTCAATATGGGAGTACGAAACGCTCGAACATTCCCATTTTTTGGGGCGCAATTGAATGACTCATCAACTTACAGCTTAGTAGTAAATAGTAAATCTCGGTAATAGAATTTCACTGAATTTAGCACTGAAATCTTAATGAGAATTCATGAGGGAAGTTAAACATTCGATAGAATGCAAACCATTTACTTTTTCATTCATTAAGACTTTAGTGCATCAGCCTCAGCTAGAGCTTCGTCGTCGTAAGGGCTGCGGCACGAGGCTCGGTAGCGAGCTCGGTTATCCTATTGATTGCGGTATGCCAAATCATGTTTAATTTTTCACGACGTGCAATGAGATTTCTCGTTCAGCTCATGACTTGCTTTCATTTAGGGTTTGAATAGTGAAGAAATCTTTACCTGTAGATTTACTTTACTTATACGTTTTTCAATTTTGGTTGATAAAAATGTTTTCATACTCTATTCCTTTTAAAACTTTAATGTTCACACATATAAACTGATAATCAAGCAAGTTTAATAAATTTATTGTAATAATGATTTAATGCTCTATTCCGATTAGAAATTTTTATCTTCAGACACAAAAAAAAAAAACAGATAATCAAGGCAAAAGAAATGAAGAAAACTCAATGAAACTGCAAAGTTGTTTACTTGTGCTACTTATTCGGCACGGAATTCCTTGTCCTTATGTCGATGCGACCCCGACGGAATATTCCAGATGTTCCAGAGAAACACTTGCTATGCCACGGCCAGCGAGACTTATTTCAAGAATAGCCTCTTACGTGCAGGATTATTCGGATCTCTTAGAGAATTCCTTGGCTACTAAAATTGAAGTCGTTCTTCTTTGCAAACGCTTTGGGACAAATATTAATTTGTTTGGGTTCTTGAGTGCTATAATAAGAGTTTCCTCAAAATTTGTCCTATTTTATAGGAATGTTCTACTATAATATGTCATGCTTCTGTAGGTTTAAATATCAATTTATTACAACATTGAAAACTCAATCCAACAAATTTGTAACATTTCATGGCGAAGTTATCAGTATTTAGGAATAAGAAATATTCCTATCACGAATCTCCAAATCCTTTCGGAAACATTCATTCAGCCGCGGTGAATTATGCCGGCATAGATGAAAGTTTTCCACGTCGAGAAATTATTCGGATTTTCGCCGAATCTCGTCCGAAATTTTCGTTGACATAATTTTGGAATTTTTGGCAAATCGAGGGCGGTTGACGCGTGCTGGAGACACGGGCATGCATTGGCTGAATAATTTATTTTATGCGATGCATGAGAGCGTGAACTGCGTGTCTAGACTACACGAGCCTTTTATCTGGTAGCAATACGAAGGATATTTTATCCGTAATTTTATTGAGTTAGTGATAATTTTCGACGCTACTCATGAGAAGTTTGAAAATGGAAATCTAGGTTTAAAAATAAATTGTAACTGCTAGTAAAAACCTTAGCGTCGTGGAGATCTAAGTAATTATTTCAGCCTTTTTTGGTTACATGATAAATTTCAGGGAGCGACTGTGCAGCAGTATTGCGCCGTCCATGCGAGCGCAGCCGGCGAGAGCAGCAGTGTTGCGCCGTCCAGGCACCGCAGGCGGGTTCCACTCGCTCAGACGACTCGCCTTCTCACTCAAGGTCTTAAAAACGAGCAGTTACTCTTCACTTTGCTACTCACTTCAGGAGTCAGTTTCCTTCGGCTCGCTAAATCCAATCCTGTAGAAGTTAAGCTCAGCTAATCCATTTAATTTAAAGCCCCCCTCGCGATGACCGTCGAGAAAACACACTCGAGATGGTCTTGGCATCGCTCCTCTTCCTCTCAACCACTTCCTGATTTGAGAAATTTTCAGACGTGAAAAATCTCCGCTTTCTTTCTTTGAACTAATGTACTGAAATGGAGAAGTGCTTCTGAATATTATGGCAAGGCCTTAAATTTTCTAAGCTTTATCCAATCCATTGATGTATTTATTGCATTTAATGAACCGCTACAATATCCGGGTGAATTTATTTCTCGATACTCGGCAAGCTGAAGGTGCGGCGAGCAAGGCAGCGTCAGTCAAGGGAACGTCAAGATAGCGGGAACTTCGAGATAGCGGGAACATCAAGATAATGGGAACGTCAAGATAGCGGGAACGTCAAGATAATGGGAACGTCAAGATAGCGGGAACTTCGAGATAGCGGGAACGTCAAGATAGCGGGAACGTCGAGATAGCGGGAACGTCAAGTTAGCGGGAACGTCAAGATAGCGAGAACGTCAAGATAGCGGGAACTTCGAGATGGCGGAAACGTCAAGATGGCGGGAATATCGCCGTCACTCACTTTTACAAATCCCTGCACTGTCCTGTACTACGTATTAGCTGCATTAATAGCATATACAACGCAGTTTTAAATGTTCATCGCAATTTATTTAATGAGGCTTCATATTGGCTTCTTTTGTTTGACATTCTTTCGTCCAAAAATTTCCTGTAAGGCATTAATAGGATCGCTCGGTTGCTGTCAACAGTTTTTGCCCTGAAACACAATACAGTGCTGTTTTTTCCTTAGACAACGTCGTACCCGAAGGTTTTACCCCAAAATGTTCCCTAGTAGCCTAGTAGGAATTTTTTTATCTCATAGATGCTGAGCCCGCAATTTTTCCGCCCTAGACTGGCTTGGCTCACCACTTTTACCCTGAAGGTTGGTGTTGACGCAATTTACGCAAGTGCTCGAGCTTTTCTAGCATCTAATTATATGCAAACGATGCCACAACGAGTGCTTTTGCCGATATATGTGCTTCCTAACGGGACTCTTTTGTTGCTTAAGTATGTAAATAAGAGTTGTTGGTCTGAGTATTCAACGAGATTTGGGATGAATTGAGCCGAGTTTTGGACAATGAATTATATGTAATTCGCTGCACTGATGAATTTTGCGTATGAGTTCTGAAGAAATCGAGCATAGATTATTTTGACACGAAAGGTAATTTTTTTGCTATTTATCATTATTACATAAATTTAAAGGAATTTTTTTAGACGATGAAATTATCGGAATTTTCCTCTTGCCCATAAGAGACCAATTGAAAAAGAGCTCAAAACTAATTAGAAAATTCAATGAACATATTTCACAGTTGAATTCAATAAGCTTCAAGTGTAAACGATTGGTGCATACCTTGATCTTTCTGAACAATTGATAATGTAAACCGAATATTTCAAGCACATTTTGGCTGACGTCAGGAATTATATTCTACTGAACGCACCCTGAATTTTTATTATTCATATTTTTATTATTTATAGTATTTTTGTTTATATTAATATTTTTTATGTTACTTATTGGCTAGAAAAGTGGAAAAATAAACGTAATTAAAAACGAATCTCTTCGTATAAGTAAGGTGTCGACTAAAACCGTTCACTTCCTGGCTATAGAAGTAAATGAGGCTTTATAGGCCTAATTAAACGGTTCAGTTAATTAGCTTCACTATGTTCAAAGTTTGAACTTCATGATCAAATTCTGCTCTACATAATAACTATTAGACTCCAGATTGTCGGGTTCCGATATAATATTTCATATGAACTGGAAAAAATTAGCTCATACTGTACTGTTATGTTATTCATGTATTTATTACTCATTCTTTAAGCTGTGTATGAAATAATTCATAAAGCACGAGAACACAATAAACGCCACATCCGTTATCAGTCATAGACTCAGAGAAAAAAATCGGTCGTATTGTCCAAATGTCACCCCACCAGGTCAATTCAATTTCCAGTTCATTTCATTAGCTTTACTGTGTTCAAAGTTTGAACTAAATAATTAAATTCTGCTGTACATAGTAACTACTTGAGCCCAGATCATCGGGTTTCCGATATAATATTTCACATGAAGAATAAATTTGGTTGCAAGAAGAAACAAAAATTTGTCGATCTGTGGTACAGTTTAAATCAAATGAAAACGGCTGCTCTTTTTAATGCTATTAGCTAACTTGCTTCGCGAAGTGATTGTCAATCCATTCATATTTTCTTAAGAAATAAATGCATATTGAACGAAGAAATAATGCTTGATAAGCGAAGAAAAAGATGCTACGAGTAGAGCTCTGCCTGATTGAGCTGGAGTTCCAGCAAAATTAAAACATCAAATATTAAATAAAAATAAATAAATAAATAAATAAAAATTAAATAAATATCGGAGTTTTGTTCATTCAACGTATCTATAGCGGAGGCGTTGTAGAAGAAACATTTATCGATACATTTTGCGCTCATTAAAATTGGAAGCTCTAGCTGGCGACGCTCGCTCAATTTGTCGGTCGATCCGCTGAAAAGTTCATCATTAGGCAATGGCGGTGAATTTCTTTGGGCTGCTGGAAATAGCATTAGCGTTTGGCACGAGTCTGCAGCTCATTTAAATATAATTAGATCTTGTTTGAAGTTTGCACTTGACTTCATCGAGCAAACAGCATCCACCTTGTGTCTATAGACCGCCTCGATTGGGAAACTTAAGAGAATTCATGTTACCTCAATAATACCTACGTTATAAAACTTTCAGGTTTGTTCATCACGACTAATATATAATGCACACTTTTGCTGGCAATGTCGAATAATAGAAAAATGCGCAAAATATTACAAATTACAAATTCGGCTTCAACGTCATATTTCAACTAAGGAATAAGTTCCAACCAAGGGCACCTTTACTGTGTGAACTGCTCGAAATAACGGCGAAAAACAGTATAAACAGCGTTCTAGTGGTCAGTCGGCCCATGTATATAAACCTCGTCGCCGTTTATTTTGCATGAATGTTTCGAGTTTTAAATGTAATTTTTCAAGCAAGTGCCAGCATTGATCAGTAGTGAAGACAGCATTGATCAGTAGCGAAGACAGCATTGATCGGTAGTGAAGACAGCATTGATCGGTANGCTTCGTGTCGGGACAACAGGCCTCGTGTTGCTGCTGCTGCAGCTTCGTGTCGGGACAACAGGCCTCGTGTTGCTGCTGCTGCAGCTTCGTGTCGGGACAACAGGCCTCGTGTTGCTGCTGCTGCAGCTTCGTGTCGGGACAACAGGCCTCGTGTTGCTGCTGCTGCAGCTTCGTGTCGGGACAACAGGCCTCGTGTTGCTGCTGCTGCAGCTTCGTGTCGGGACAACAGGCCTCGTGTTGCTGCTGCTGCAGCTTCGTGTCGGGACAACAGGCCTCGTGTTGCTGCTGCTGCAGCTTCGTGTCGGGACAACAGGCCTCGTGTTGCTGCTGCTGCAGCTTCGTGTCGGGACAACAGGCCTCGTGTTGCTGCTGCTGCAGCTTCGTGTCGGGACAACAGGCCTCGTGTTGCTGCTGCTGCAGCTTCGTGTCGGGACAACAGGCCTCGTGTTGCTGCTGCTGCAGCTTCGTGTCGGGACAACAGGCCTCGTGTTGCTGCTGCTGCAGCTTCGTGTCGGGACAACAGGCCTCGTGTTGCTGCTGCTGCAGCTTCGTGTCGGGACAACAGGCCTCGTGTTGCTGCTGCTGCAGCTTCGTGTCGGGACAACAGGCCTCGTGTTGCTGCTGCTGCAGCTTCGTGTCGGGACAACAGGCCTCGTGTTGCTGCTGCTGCAGCTTCGTGTCGGGACAACAGGCCTCGTGTTGCTGCTGCTGCAGCTTCGTGTCGGGACAACAGGCCTCGTGTTGCTGCTGCTGCAGCTTCGTGTCGGGACAACAGGCCTCGTGTTGCTGCTGCTGCAGCTTCGTGTCGGGACAACAGGCCTCGTGTTGCTGCTGCTGCAGCTTCGTGTCGGGACAACAGGCCTCGTGCTGCTGCGAAGAGGCTTCAAGTTTCCTCTTAGCTCTGCTCTGAGTTTTTGATGATATTATCACCTTCGCGCTCCTCTGTCTTCGGTAAGCGGTGTTAAGGGGAGGCACTTTTTCTGAAATTACAATGTCTCAATCAGTATGCGATTTAGATTTAAAAAATTCTACAAAATTTTGAGAATTCGTTGACGAAATTAATATTCTGACACTGAGGTTCCGTCATTATTTTTTATTAAAATTTTTAGATTTTATCCTATAAGATTTTGCGTGAGATTTGAATTTCAAGAATATTATCAATTCATGTGGTAAATGATAATTTCCAGAAATCGTCACGTTTATAAAAGGAAGTCAATCTTAAGTTCATTGAAATACTAAATGAAGTTGCTGAACTTAGTTTCAGAGCTCTAGCTGCACAGCCAGCTTCCTGGTAAAAAGTTGACTAGGAGATTATTTTTAAGAAGACACAACTCACCGCACCAAAACTTACTCAAAGTAAGGCGTGTGCGTGTCTGGCTGCCATCTTGCTAATAAAGTTTACACTTAGGCCAACACAGAGCCTCCGCCTCGCTTGTTTCCCTTGATCGTGTTCCTGTAACAGCTTCACGGCACGCGACTTGCTGCCTTATTCCCGTGAGTAGTCGGCGTCATCTTGTTGCTATTACACGCAGTTACATCGCTATAACCAACGTCATTTTCTTCTACAATCCATCATTTTATTTCTCAGAATTTTTTATTCGCCTTTTTTTTTAAATTCAGTAATATTGACTGTAAAAAGATGGCATCTTGTAACTATGCGGAAAAGCGTCAATTGGTATATTAGGCACAAAATGAAACATACAGGATACGCTAAAAATAAATAAATAAAATTACTAAAATGACAAACTTGTCTGCAAAGTCATTAGGTTCCTGCAATTTAGTGATAATTCCGCATACAAAGTTGACAACGACACTCTTAAATACACTCGTACGGTTCATAATTCACATGGTTCATCACAACACACGCCATGAACAACGTGTCGTCTTACATGGTTCACTAAAATGTTATCTAAGACAGCGTGTCGCAATGCAAAATATTTAGATAACTAAAGAAGTACAGGTTAGGTATTGTTATCCATTTTTTATTTATCATTTTTTTTCGAACAAGAAAACGCTTTTGTCGTCCCTTCGTTGACGGCGCTAGCCTGACTCATCACTAGCTCGCGTTTGTGCTTCGCGCGGCGGAGTTTCAAGCCTCGAGACAAATTTGGTTCCCTGATAAACTGAGCGGTCAGCAACTCAGAAGAAATCTTGGGGCCCAAAGTTTCTATAGTGAGTTTCCAAAAATACGACAGTTATGTCGTTCATCATTTTGATTGACATCCTGTTTTAACTCTCTTGCTGATCTATAAGGACGTCATATTCTTATTACGTTCATAATTGTTTTCACATAATTGTTGAATTGCTTTTGATCTTCACGATGTTTTCATCGTTCGTCGCCTACGCTCTTCCCATGAAGCTATATATGGACGGATATGAATAGAGTTTCCTCCTGCCCCCCGATGTATTTCGTTAGGACCTCCAACCATACCACCTATATTACCAGTAGTTGGATGTCATGTTTGATGTAATCGCTAAGTTCAAGTTCCCGATCTGGCGCCGCTGTATCAAAACTTGCTCAAACATAGGCATCAGCCTTAGTACTCGTAACGCCCCGATTACACGTAAAGACCTAAGTGTACATGGAGGCCAAGTACACGTAAGGACCTAACAACCTTACCCCAACTATAGCGAATGTGTCGCAGAGTCTCTAGCATACCTTAAACTTTGTTAGGGTAGATAGATACGATACTCGCAGAGTATTTTTCCTCTGTGATTGGGGGGTTAGGCGGCTTGAATAGCAGGCAATGATTTATGATAGTACAGCCCCAGAGATCTAGCGACTATCGTAGCGGTGCTTCCAGGCAGATTACACTGCAGTACATTAGTGTACCTACATGATGCTGTAACCTGTGTTATACAAAAAATTCTGTTATCTTATGCTAATAATAAATAAGGGTGAGTGTATGGACACCCCCACGATCCACCTAGTGTTCTTCCTCCCTCAAGGACCTCCCTAAATTGAATAGGAATTCTTACTTTAGGTGAGGACACGTCTCCTTTGCCGGCAAAATATCGTTGTCGATTTTTGGGGAAGACTTTCGATATTTCTAGGGCGAACGCAAAGTACAATATTCAGGAAATATGTTGGCGCTCCAAAGTGCTGCCTCAAATCGAGAAATTTTGGAACGTGCCCAAGGCCGCTGCACCGATGTCCTCGATTCGAAAAATTACCAGAAACCATTTCTTGGGGGCGATGAAGGTCGCTACCTCGCCGTGTTGCGGGGCCAGTGCTCGGCAAGAAGTACCGCGCGCGTCCGCCATTTCCAAATGAAGGCCTGGATGCGCATTTTCGAACCGACGATAAACTTGCAGGAAAATTAGCCCTGTTTTTACACTGGCGATGGCGTGTCGTGACCGAGGGTAGAGTGGATACAGTTTGTGTTGGACGGCACGCGAGGGAACTTATTTGGTACAGGAATACAGAAGCTTTAGCGCTGTGTTCAGTTGTAGCATTTTCGATAAACTAAACCTACTGCAGCTGCAAACTATTTTCATAATATTGTATATTTATGATTAATATCATGGAATTTCACATTGTTTATTATATTGTTATCACTCACATTAAAATGTCGTGCGTATTTTTCTATTAGTTTTTGTTTACAAAATATACATTAATGGTATTTAAATATTTGTTATACGTGCCAAATTTGGAGGTTTGAGAATAATGCGAGAGTTTCTAAAGCGTACCATTCATTTGTGAGACATTGATAACGCTAACCAAATTTACCAAAAAACAGTCTTTAGCTCAAAAATATTCGGCCAATAGTCCTTCCTCTGTTGGAAGAAGAAATTTCGAGTTTACGTAAACAAATCGGTAACTTGCAATAAATTTTCTATATACCGATTCCTAAATACGGTTATGTCAAGACTAATTGGAAGAAATATTGATAAATTCTTTGAGCATCACCAACCACTCAGAAAAAGGAGGGTCGTTACAATAAATATTTATTTTTTTTAATCTTGATAGAGGAACTTTGAGCCCCAAGATATCTTCTGAGTTGCTGACCGCTCAGTTTATCAAGGAACCAAATTTGTCCAGAGGCTTGAAAGTCCGCCGCGCGAAGCACAAAAGCGAGTTAGTGAGTCAGGCTGGCGCCGTGAATGAAGGGACGACAAAAGCGTTTTCTTGCCTTTTAACAAAATATAGTTAAGAATACCGGACCTGCATTACCCGAATTACCTAATTATTTTGCATTTCGACACGCTGCCTTAGATAATGTTTTGATGAACCATGGGACTCAACACATAATTAAACCGGTAATGTTAGGCTTGAGGCATGTTTCGGCATGGAGACACGGGAAAAAACGATCTTACTTTCTTTTACGATTATTGTTGTAAACTTCGTACGTGGGGTTAAGCCTGAATTGAAGAACATAGTTACATATCAGGCAAGTTTGTTGAGCTAATATTTCATTTATTTAATGTTTTTTTCCTGATTCTTGATTATGTTTTCTTGTGAGGTATAAATATAGATTAACGCTCATATATAGACGACAAAGACAGTTAGTGCACGCAGGAAGCAATGCTTCTGCTAACTGGCAAGTAACTTCATTCAGCGAATGCTGAATTAAATTTTTATTGATGATTGAAAATGAATTTTGGGAACACGCTTCTTTTTGCTAGTTTTTCACCGTTTTCGTTACATATTTAGGAATAGACAAAATAAATAAATACGAACGTATTTTTTGTACGTTCATCTTGCATAATTTTTTATACTGCATCATTTTCCTAAATAATTAATTTATACAAATAATATTTTTATTATCACAAGAAATTGTGCGGAAATATATTGCAGCGACTGGATAATCATGGTTTGGATAAGGTGTAATTATCATAGAAATTTCCAGGAGATGGTTTGAGTATGATGAAGGATGTTATCGGTGCCAAGGATGGTGAGGAATGTTTTCCACCCATCATGCATATAGCGTTTAAGTATCGTTGATTAAATGTTGTTTCAAAGAAGTCAACTCGAGATCAGCGTCGTTTCAAAGTAGTTGACTTGGAAGAGAGGAAAAGCTGCATTTTTCCCTGTCAGTGGTCGGTCTGCACCAGCATCACAGTTTTCTTCGCCAGCATTACAGTCTCTTCGTTCCAGGACCGCCAAGTGTAATAATCGAGTTGACAGAAGAAGTCTCCGGACATCGAACAAAATGGCCATACATTTGCCTGTTTGTGAGACGCGATACATAGACTGGCTCTGCACTTACTTGTTTATTCATTGAAGCAATTGCTGGGCAGTTGTAGCCATTGTGATGACCGCATAGAGACAGCCTGGACAGATGCATACGCTCTGAAGATCTATGAGATACATTGGCGTTATTTGCCTTGGGTCTAAAGAAGAGCATGAAGCTCAGGCTACACGACACCCAACTTGAACGACATTGCTGAACAGACGCGGGATGCGTTCCTCGTTATTGTTTAAACTTTACATATTTTAATAATTAATTTTGTTGTAAAGTATTGCCCATGTGAACTTGACGGTCAAATAAATGTTCTGACAATAAAAAAATTGACTAATATTAATGAAATCATTTGCATTCATTAAACAAAAATGCCATGACTAGAATATATTCCTCCAAATTACTCTCATAATCTGGACACTTTCAACGACTGGAACTGCTTTGTGAGATAATGGAAATTAATAATATACGTTTAAAAATTATTTTTTAAAGACAACACTTCCAAAGAATCCAGTATCTCCAATCTTACAGATGTACAATGAATTTATCATCTAATTTTCAAAAATTAAAAAAATTAACTTTTCAATTTTTTTAAATATATACATTTGTTTAATAGATAATTTTTTTTCAAAATTATTTATTCTGTTAATTGATTCATGTATTGCCTCTGACTTCACACAAGTGTGCAAAATTTCAGATCAATTAGACAGGTAAAAGTGTGTCAAATATCAGTTATAAGATTTGTAGCTGACAAAATTATTTTTTCAATTTTTTTAATTATGGAAAAAAAAATTTTT